AGCATATGCTGGTCCCCAGGGTCCACCACAAAGAGTCAGTGGCTGATGTATATATAACGAGCAAACACGAAAGGCTTGGGGTCACCCACAGAGAAGCAGCAAGATCCTCACAGAGAAAGAAAAGTCGAAAAACCCTGGTAAAGTAAGCTGAGATTTGTAAAATCACAACATGGCAGTTTACCACCAAATCCAGCACCCTGAGAACCATATCACAGGCAAACTGAAACTGTAAGTACTATCAGAGAGAAGGGGGGGGAATCGAAGCTATAAGGTTAGGACAAGTCTTTGTGGGTGCTCACAAAAAAAGAACTAGAGAAGCCCCGGAAGAAGAGGGAATGAGTCTGAAAGCTCAAAACATCATAGCTGAGAATTATCCAAATCTTGGTAGGTTATCTAGAGTCATGAAGCTGAAAGGATTCCAAGCAAGATCAACCTGAAGATGGATGCCTGAGACATAATCAAACTAAAAACCAGAGATGAGGACTTGTACAGGCAGTGGGAGATCCATCACATACAAGGAACCTCTCTCTCTCTCTACTCTCTCTCTCTCCCTCTCTTCCTCTTTTCCTCTCCCTCCCCCTCCCTCTCTTCCTTTTTTCCTCTCCCTCTCCCTCTCTCTTTCCCTTTCTTTCTCCCTCTCCCTGTCTCTCCTTCTCTCCTTTTCCTTTCCCTCTCCTTCCCCCTCTCTTTCTGTGTGTGTGTATGTGTGTGTGTCAGAGTTTTAAAACCTTGGAGGGCAGAAGGAAATGAGATGATGAAACCAAAGTTCTGAAAGAATAACTTCTAGCCAAGAACATACCTAGAAAAGCTGCCACCTAGAAATGAATGCAAAATAAAGATATTCCCAGGTATCATGTCTATACTTGCCTAATGAGACATGCCAATGGGAACTCTCCACATTGACATGATATCAACTGGCAACGTGAAAGCATGGAGCTATGCCACTCTCCATCAAAGGAAGTGCACCGAGCTTAAACCATTGACAACGGTAGTGTTTCAGGAGTGAAAACAAACAAATGTATTTTTTTATGTAGCTGCAATGGTTTTGTTAATGGATATGCAATATAAAAAGACTAGCATAAAATGGGGTGGGGAATAGCAATATAATTTTTGCAACTAAAAAGTTACTACCAATTTAAAATAGAATTTAAGGCTCAGGAAACATTGTGGAACATAGAGCAGGAAGATTTTAAGAGCCAGAGGACCCAAACATGTGCTGTAAGAAAGTGCCTTTTAGACATGCCAGGGAAGCTGCACCCATTGAACATTCAAAATTATAGTCACTGAAACAAGACCTGCACAATGACAACACCAGTTGACATGCTAACATGGATGGTGGGAATCTCACAAGGCCCCACCCCCTCAATTAAAAACTACAGGCAATCAATGGCCTCTGAGACAGGGATAGATTATCTAACCCCATGTGGTCAGCCCAAGATGCATATATACATGAGCAGCGCTAAATGGACTCAGTAGGCTGTATGTTATATACATACATGTGTATATGTCTGTCTGTAGAACAATAACAAAAAAGAGGTCATGAAATTGAGAGGGGGTGGAAGGATGTGAAAGAAGTTAGAAGAAGGAGAAGGTGGGGTGGAAATGATGTAAATGCAGTACTCAGGTATGAACCACAAAATAATTACATAAAAATTTTAACTGTACTTGGGACTTGGGAGGCAAAGGCAGGAGGACCGAGAGTTCTGAAGCCAGCATAGGGAACACACAAGGTCTATGAGGTTGGGCTAGAGGGATCCAATTATACATTGTATATGAAATTCATTTCACCATTGTGATGGCTTGAAGGAGAATGGCATCTATAGAGTCATACGTTGGATATTTGGTCCCTAGCTGGTGGAACTGTTTGGGAAGGATTAGGAGGTGTGGCCTTGTTAGCAGAGGTGGATCACTGAGGCCTTTGAGATTTGGCTCTTTTCTCTGCCTGATGCTTATGGATCAGATGTAAGCGCTCAGCTACTGCTCTAGCACCATGCCTGCCTGCCTGCCGCCATGCTCCCCGACATGATGGTCATGGACTCACACTTTGAAACTATGAGCCCCCATAAATGTTTTTTCTACAAGTTGCTTTGGTCGTGGTATTTTGTCGTGATATTAGAAAAGTAACTAGGACAACCAATGGGCCAAATGAGAAGGGGTTTAAAAATATATCCCTTGCAAACAGTAACTGAAAGACAACAGAAGGGTCTCTGTCAACCAGATAAAATGGATTTCCAGTCCAAATCACAAGGTCACCATATGGTCATAAAGAAGGCAGTTCATCGAGCAGATAGAGCAATTGTAGATAAATGTGTGCTAAATACACAAAGCAGACTCTGTCAGATCGGAGGGGAATGTAAACAGTAACTTCAGCGTCCCACATGTGGTGATGATTTATAATCCAGACAGAAAAACAAGAAAACAACAGACTTGGAAAATACTAAAGATCAAGTGGCTAACATGCACACAGGTGATTCCATCCACAGCAGAGTGCATGTGTGTCTTGGGAACATGGACATCGCCAGGACAGATCACATGATTAAAATCTTATCAATGTCTTTCTTAACCACAGTGTTATGAAACGATATCAACACTCTGAGGAACTTATAAAAATTCCCACAAGTATATGAGAATAAATAACATACTCCTTCATAACCAGCAGGTCAAAAAAGAAATTAAAAAGGAAATTTAAAACTATTTAAGACAAATGAAAAAATTAAAACACACCAAAACTTATGGAGTGCACCAAAAGCGGTTCTAAGAGAAGTATCTATAGTGACAAATGTCTGTAGTAGGAAAAAAGAACCCAGCCAAGCTAACGTCATTCAAGGAACAAAAAAAGGACAAACTATACATAAAACAGAAATAAACTAGTGAAGATCAGAGCAGACATCAATGAAACAGAAACTAGAAAAACAAAAGATTAATGAAACTTGGTTTTCTCAAGTGATAAAACTGTCAAACCTTTAGTTAGACAAAACGATGTCAGAATTACTCACCAAGAGGAGCCATTACAACAGATGCTATAGGAATAGAAAGGATCATAAAAAAATGGCTGTATTAACTTTATACCTGCACCTTGGACAACCTGGAAGAAATGGAGAACGTCCTAGAAATATACAACTTCTGTAGACTAAATCATGAAGAAACAGAGTTTGAACAAATCTCTAACAACTGAAGATACTGAATCAGCAGTGACAGGCAGTCCCACATGAAAGCACGGGAGGACAAGAGGACTTTGTGGATGAATTCTACAAGCCATTTAAAGGAGAATTAAACACCTCCAAAAGCCGAACGGAAGGTGGTAGGAAGTCTTACAAACTCGTTTTATAAGGCAGTCATCTCCCTCACACCAACTTTAGAAAGGGGGACCATAAGAAAATCCGCAAGTCCTTGTGAACTTGTCACAGTCAGTGTCACAAGCACATTAAAGGAATCATGGAATACTACCAACGGGCTACCTCCCTGGGCTGCAGAGAGGGTCAGCATACACAAATCTGTGTGACACGTTATACAGTCACAGAATAAAGGATAAAAATCACACAGTAATCACAATAGATGTAAAAAAAATTTCTGACAAAATTAACATACTTTCACAATTAATAAAATTAGGCTATTAGGAGGGATGGCTATATATATATAATGTGGATATATCCATATAGATATCCACATATATATCCACAGCTAACAGCATTTTTGATGGACAAAAAACAAACAAAGACACCTCTCTTTAAGATCGGAACAAGATGAGGATCCTGTTTCACCTCTTCCACTTAACTTATTTCTTGGAACTCCTAGACAGAGCCAAAGGCAAGAAAAGGAAATAAAGAAATCCAGTTCAAAAAGGAAAAAGTCTCATTATCTTCCCTGCAGGCGACATGTGTCTTTCCCTACAGATTTATCCAAAACTCAGAGCTAACACGCAACCCCAGCCCAGCACTAAGACACAAAACTGACATGAAGTCACTTGGTTTTCTACGTGAAAACAATGAACCATCTGAAAAGAAACTAAAAGGCCAGAGGTGGTGGTGCACACTTTCAATCCCAGCACTCAGGAGCTGAGGCAGGAGGATAGCGTTCAAGGCCAGACTAGGTAACATAGCAAGGCTTTGTCTAGGGATATAGCACAGAGGTAGAGTGCTGGTCTCATATATGCAAAGCTCTGGGTTTGACTCTCAGAGCCAAGAAGGAAAGCGGGGTGGGTGGGACAAGGGAAGTCAGGGAAGAGGGAGGGGAGGAGCTAAGGATACAACCACACCTGTATTAACGTGAACATTAAAACACTTAGAAATAAATATAACCAAGGAGGTGGAAAACTAGAAACAAGAAAACATTGACAAACAAGTTTAAAAAGCCATAAGTAAATAAAGTAAATATATCATGATCTGGATTGGGAGAATTAATACTGCCAAATTATTGATACCATCCAAAACAATCTACAGATTCAGTGTAATCCCCATCAAAATCCCAATAATATCTTTCATAGGACAATCCTAAAATTCATATGGAAGTACAAAAGACCCTGAGAGCCAAAGCTGTGTCTAAGAACAAAGACTGCTGAGATGTGGAGGTGTCCCATTTTCTATTTAAAACTGTTACAAACTAAAGTCATGAAAACAGTAGCCGTAGCCAGGTAAGAACCAACATGGGTAAGAACACAGGAGAGCCCTGTGTTCTTAGCAAAAGCATACACATCCAGCTACTCAATAAGGCCAGGAGAATACAGCGGGGAAATTATGCCCTCCCATAAGCAGTGGGGCCGGAAATGGTCTCCTGGCTTCACAGTGTGGGGGAGCCAGGACCTGCAGGAAGACCAAGAGAACTGGATGCCCTTCCCAGGCTTCAAGGGAATGAACAGGCAAGGGGAGCCACAGCCCTGGCCTCAGCTACACCGCTTGTAGCCCAGGCCCTAGCTTCCCACTTCTCCCTCTCCAGAGAACACAGAGGTCCCCAAACTTCCACAGGGAACCCTGGCACCCATGTTCTAGGCTTCCATCTCCATCACGACTCAAGCTACCCTCTTTGTTGCTATCTGAGACCCTCTCAGGTTCATCCACAGCTCCTTTGCCTCTCCTCCGAAGCTCTGGATGGTCACCTGACCACGGACTCTGGCAGCAGCCCACTCTCCCAAAAGGCCAGATGTAGGAGGATGTTGAAAAGAGGTGCCCATCCTTGCTGGTCTACAGCTAGACTCTAGCTAGCCCCATCTCCCAGATCCTGTCCTCTCTTGCTACTCCCTATTGACTTCCTAGTCTATGTGGAGCCAAAAAATCCCTTTGTGTCCGGAGCCTGCCAGGTCTTGCCTCCTTCAGAGCCCTTCAGACACCACTTGTCTCTATCCTGCTTACTGGCCAGGGCCATTGCGTACATCACTTCCTGGCTCTTCACCCTAAAACTCTCTGTCTGCATTTCCCACACTGAGTCTGTGTCTTCTCTAAAGGCACTGTCTGGTCATTTGCCATACCCCACATCGCACCATCCTGCCTCCTGGCCTCAGCCTCATTCTCTGGGGGCCTCTGGGGGCTCAGGTGGATGGCAGGGCACCTTTACCCAGACAGAAAGGATGGTGCAGCTGAGTCTAGCCCAAAAGAGAACCCAAAATTCCAGGTGAGCACTGAGAAGGGGATTCTGGGGGCACAGGGGTGGAGATACTGGGTCCCACAGACATTGGCACTTCCAGGATGACCTAAGACCCCCCCCCCCCGGGAAGGTGGACCTCCAGAGAAAGGGATCCTCCTCTCTCCCAAGGTGCCTCTGCCTCGTCAAGTGTATCAGTCTCTCCCCTTTGTGGTCCTCATCTCAGCAGCTGGTCCCCGAATCTCCAGGGGTACATGGGCCGCTGCAGAGTGAGGAACACTTGGACACGCACTTATGTCCTTACATATCCAGGTTCCTAGCAGCAACTGGAAGCCATCGGGACAACTCAGAGGTAGAGAGTCGGCTCCACTCTGCTCATGGGAATCCTCAGCACCTTCCCTGACTTTGGGGTACCTGATGGAGGCACGTGTACTCTGTAAGCAAGCTGGACCCTAAACTGAATCCTGAGCCCATGCTGCTTCAGCCCACTGGGGTTCCCCAGGAAGTACAGGTCCAGGAGAGCTGTGACTACCCTAGGGCTGCCTGCCTGAGTAGGTTACTTTGGGGGGGTAGGGGGGTGTCGGGGGGGGAGGTGCCAGCCCTAGAACAAGAGAAGGAACACATCTCCCAAAAGGGATGGAATTTAGTTTCAAGGTGGAGGCTCGGCAGCTGAGTAGCCAGGGCACAGGCAGCTAGAGAGCACCAGAGACAGAACAGAGCATCTGCTGGGGTCTGCAGCATCCCTTTCCTCTGCTGTCCTGCCCCTACCTTGGGACAGCGCAGACGGCTCATCCAGTGGTCTCAGTACTATGCAGGAGGCCCCTAAGGTGGAAAAGGCGCCGGTGGCAGGAGCCACAGGATGGATTCTGAGATGCTGGGACAAGCGCTTGGCCTTCCCTTAGAGAGGGCTGGGTTGAGGTTCCAGTAGACAGCAGGTATCTGGTAGAGAAGGCCCACCCTCCATCTGGCCATGTGTGAACTCCTGTCCTACGTGTTCCAAGCGACCCACGGCTCTCACAGACCGCCTGCCCCAGAATAACCGCTTGGATCACAACCAGCCCAACAGCACTGGAGCCAGCAGCCCTGGCGAGGGGGAGGAGGAAGGAGGCTCTGCTATCAACACCAGCTTTGGGCGCCACCTCTTGTCTCTGCAGGCGGGAGAGGCGGCAGCACGGGACATGGCCACTTTGGAATGTCCTCCCTTTGTTCTCTGTTCCCTGACATCATAGTTCAGGCCCCCAATTGCTCTGGAGTACAAGCCACCTGGCCCCATGAGAAAGTTAACAGTTCTGCAGGGATTGCCAAGGCCCTGAGAAGATAGGGAAGGGCCGCTCCTGAAAAGAGCACAAGTACAAGTCCCTCCTGGGTTTCCAGCCCCATCCCTCCCCTAGTATCTCACCTCTTCTTCCTAGAGACAACTTTCCCGGCTAAGAGGGGCTTTTCTAGAATATATGCCCAGGGACAGACGGCCTCTCCTTGCTCTAAGGAGCAACCCCATCCATGTATGCATTGCCCCACCTACCCCCTTTGACCCTCAACCCTTCTTCCCACCAACACACGGCAAATGTAACCGGGTGTACTGGAATGTGGGCCCCTGAGGCACAGGGACCAGGCCACCCCGGCCTATGACCCAAAGGGTGTGGGCTCACAACAGAGTTGATCCAGAAGAGACCATACATCTCTGAGTCTGTGGCTAGCAGAAAAGGCACAGACAGGAACTCAGTGAAAGCCACCCAGTGGAGGTGGGCACTATGAGGGGCCACAAGGGGCCGCACGTCTGGGTGGGTGTGTGCTGGAACGGCAGAGAGGCCACAAGGCCCCTCATCAGTAAGGCCAGGAGGGGACAAGAGAAGCCAGGAACATCGGTGCGGGGTAGGGAGGAGGGGAGGGACGGGCCTCCACTGGGCTTTGCTTTTGAAGGCAGAGATAAGCTGACTTCCACAGGTAAGATGTGATGTGGAAGCCAGAGAGGAGCCATCAACGAATCCCAGGTGAAGAAAACAACAGAAGGGGCAGCCTCACATCAAACCTGGGGGGCTCAGCACCTCCAGGTTCCCCCAGTCTCCCCCAAAACTAGTCAACTGCAGAGTCCCAACAAGAGACAGGGTCCCAACAGGGAGAGACATGAAAACCAGCCACCACTGACCATCTTAGGGAAGACCTGGGACCTTTCAGTTCTGGGCAGATGATGGAACCGTGAGTCGATCACACAGTGACATACTCAAATAGCTCTGGACAGCTGGGCCAAGTCACCCCTGCTTGCGGTCTCGAGAGACCGCTCCCTCGGCCTGTCAGGGACGGATGCATCTGACAGAGTAATAGAAGCTTTGGTGTGGTTCAGCTCAGGTTGCAAGAAGCTGCGTTCCAGGTGAGCCAGAAAGAGGAGTCGCGGTGCCACAGAGTGCTCCGTGTCAGAGGGTATAAGAAAGGAGGTGAAAGAACAAAAATGTCACACCAACATGGACAGATGTCACACAAGGCCACTCTGTGGCCCTCACCTCTGTTAGACCACCATAGCCTCTGAGAGCACACTTCGGAACACAGGGAAGGCTTCCTGGAAACCAACAGAAGGGTTAAAAGCCCAGTGAGTGTGTGCATGTGTGTGTGAGACCCTTTGTAGGCTGAAAGACAAATGGCCTGAGTTACAGTCTGGCACTCCGGCCAATCTCCAAGACTGATTTTGAAATTATGGGACCAGCACATTAGAAACCAAGCTTTAGGTCACATTAACTGTCATACTGTTCAAGGCAAAAATCAGTAGAGAAGTGTGTGTGCATGTGTGCATGGCTGTGTGCCTTGTGCATCCACAGATTAAAATCTAAATATCTTCTCCAAAATGTTTGGAATGGACCCTGGGTTTAATATGGCTGTCACTATTATCTCCTTTTAAACAAAGCATTGGGGTGACTAGAAAACTGACTCAGTAGCTAACGAGCCAACTTTCTGCTCTTCCAGAAGACCCAGGTTCAATACCCAGCGGCCACACGGCAGCTCACAACCATCTGCAACTCCAGTTCCAGGAGATCAGGTGCCCTCTTCTGGCCTCCACAGTTATCAACCAAGCATGTGGGGTGTGTATTGTGTGTGTATATAAATTCATGTAGGCAAAACATTCATACAAGATTTTTAAAAAAGAAAAATTAGCACATATTTTCGACGGAGTAAAACATGGTAGGGTTTTCACTTGGAGGAAATGTAGAAAAATACAAATATAGGTGTCCACGGCCTTGTTTGGAACAGCAGAATGCCCTTACTCATGTGTATTCATGGTTTTATATGCATGTGTGTGCATGCCTGGCTAGTCCCTGCGTGTCTGGAGAGGCGTGGGCCCATTTGGGAGGGCACACAAGGGATGGCCTCAGCCTTCTCGTGTCGGGGTAACTTGTCACTTACATTTGCTTTACATAGGGAGTATGTGGGTCTTCCTTGCTAATGGAGTAGACGTGGGATGCCCATGCACCCAGCTGCTGATATGGGCACCGGCACCCCAACCCGTTAGGCCCACCATTGTTAGCACTCTGGAACAAGGAGCTAGCTCACCCAGGTGACAACTGAGTCCCTGCCTGTCAGGAGCCGCCCTGCTCTTGGAAAGCCACCTGTGGTGGAGTTCCATGAAGGAACAGCTCATTCCTCCATGGTCGTCCTCACCTGCATACATAAGCCTTACCCGCCACCGCTATGAACCTCCTCCTTGGAGTAGAAATCAAAACCCAGGCAGCAGTATTGTTGTGTCGCTGCCAGGGGAAAGGCTGGCCGGCCGTGGTCTTCCCCAGTCCTCCTGGGCTCTATCGCCCCTTCCCCGCCCCTTCCCCAGTCCTGTGCTTGATCAGTCTGCTCTCCGCTCCACTCCCTCCCCCAGACACCCCTAGGCCTGTCTCCCCTCAGGCAATGGCCATGCTGCAGCCCTCGCTGCCTACCTGCCTGCCTTCTCCCTCACCCTGGAAGCGGGTCTGATTCTCAGGGGCGGACTTGCCACCCCTGGCCACCCCCCCCCTTGCTCTAGTCCCGTCCCTTTACCCCCATCAGTCCCTGTGACTTCCACTGTGGCCTCAGCACAAGCCTAGCACATGGCAGAAAGGCAACAAATGGGCTACAAGAGCACCCTGGACCCCACAGGGGGTTAGGGTCCATGGAAGGAACCTGGACAGCAGAGAATGGCTCTTCCTTGGGACCAGGGGATGCCTGCAGCTGGGGACGTCAGGGCCAGCATGAGCCGGGAGCAGCCAGTGTCCTGCAGTCGGCTCTCTAGCAGAGTTCTGACCCTGAAGTACTGAGCACAGTACAGCACAGGCCTTATGAGAGACCAACAAGGTAGGCATAACCAGCTGAGGCTTGACCCAGGACACAGACTTGAAAACACACCATAGGTCACTTTATTGCCAAGTCAGGAGGACAAGACTGCTGTGACATGCAGCTTGTGACGTGCAGTTGCAGTAGCACAGACATTTCTTGCATGAGGCCAGCAGAGGGCACAACCCTAGGCTCCTGCCCAGGCTCAGCACCAAGCACTGTCCCCTCACGGGGATTCTACCTCCCTCCAACACTCGTCTTCCAAACGGGGCACTGGATGGATAAGAGGAGGCAGAGAGAGGAATATGGCAGTCTAAGTGTTGGGCCTGAGCAAGAGACTCAAGGGGTAGATGAGCTTGACTGTCCCTAGGAGGCCAGGCCCAGGAGCTGTGACCACTAAGCCTTGCTACCTAGGCTACAGGGGATGAGGAGATCCCCCGGCTCACTCAGCTGCGGCCTACAATCAACTTCTCTGTGCTTTGCCCCGTGCAGCCTGCAGCAAAAGGAAGTGTCGGCCACAGCCACCCTTCAAAGACAACTCCCTCAAGACCTGCAAGGCCAAGGCTATTACCAGAGTCTGGGTAAACCCCACTGAGGGAACCTGTTACCGCAAGTCCTGGTTTATACAAGAGTAGCCCAACCACTTGGCAGGAACCAAGCCCAGGACAGTGGGTAATGCCCCTAAAATACCAGAGCTGCAATACAGCCAGAGTCCCCATGCCTTTCACCACTTTAGGGGAGCCAGGGAGAAGGAGGATGGAGGGGATGGACGTGGAGTCTGGGAAGGAACAGGAAGGTCATTTATAGAAGCAGACACCTGTTGAGACCCACATGGCTGGATGTTCTAAGGGGACTGCTAGGTGACACTCCAGAAGCAGCCCCTCTGTTAAGTTCCATCTTGTCCTACATGTGACCAGCAGATGCCCCAGTGACAGCAAACCCCCGGCACCCATGTCTCAGCTCTGCAAGGAAGTTACATGCCCACTTTCCAGGAAGTGACCATGTATAGTGATGTCACCACAGATGAGGACCCAGGATGGCTCCCTGCTCTATCCTTCCCATTCTACACCCTCAAGACACACACACACACACACACACACACACAC